CTGCCTGGTCAGCCAGTGTTCTTAATAACAGGACCATCTCTCTAGCTCCAAGGTTTCATTTTACATAACAAATACCACATTTTGTTTACCCACTCATGTGTCAAGGGATACTTGGTTTATTTCCTTATAGCTTTGGGGTAATATGTTATTTAAACATGGGATCCTGAATCTCTCAAGTCTTTACTTTCAGATCTTAGAGGTATATAAGGAGTTTATATGGTAGTTTTGTTTGCTTTTAATTTTAACAAATTTTAAGTGAAATGAGTTCACATTCAGTTTCCTCAGATGCCCTATTTGGCACACCACAGAACCAGACAATCCTGGGCTCTATATTTGTTATGTGGTGATTGGTTGAAGGGGTGTGGGGTGGGTTAAAAAGCCAAAGGTCTGGTGTCTAGAATTCCCTGAGATTCTCCAACCTAGATTGTGCAGGCCAAATCTAGAAGATGGCTCTTGGTAGTATAGTCTGAGCAGAATTACTGAGAAGTCAGAAGGAGGTACTGATGGCCACTGGGTTTTCCATGCACCATTACAGAAGTACTGAAGAAAAGAACATGGGCTCTGCAGTCAGGCATGGACCTGACTATCAGCTTAGTCATCAGGATTTGATGCTCAGGCCATTACAAATTCTCTATGGTATTACAATAACAAGTGCTTCATAGGATTATTGGAGGGATTGAGTTAATATGTAAATGCTTAAAATACCCGACATACAACTCCTTAGAGCCTTAAAAATTAGATGAATAGGATTACATTATTCTATGAACCAAATTTTGCTATACTATATGCACTGAGTCAAAAAAGAAGCATAGCAGAGTTCTGGCAAGATAGCGCCCTCGTTAAAGGCTGAGGCTTATACATGAAGTCAAGGTATGTAGCAGAAATGTAAAGAAATGAGATTTACTCTCAGGTCATGTCAGAAGGATTAGACTGTAACTTGATGAAACTTATTGAATATCAAGAAAGATGGGTGTGGTGCCTCATACCTGCAATCCCACATTCAGGAGGCTGTTGCAGGAAGATCATCTTGAGCTGGAGGCAAGACTGGGCTACATAATCACTACTAGAGCAGCCTGGATCACAGAGTGAGAACTTGTCTCAAACAACATTGTCAATAGAAAATCAATATTTTAGATTCAACAGGAGTTGGCTATAGACTTAGTGTTGTCTCTTACAGGCTGCATCTACTTAACACTTAGAAGACAGAAGCTCTTCCACATACCTTCTTATTTCATCCCAATGACAGATGCCTATCTCCATGCAAGTGCAGAATCAGATAGCACAAACATTTAACTCACACAGTTGACTGCTTGAATCCTCATTTAAATCTGGCAAGCTTCTTATTATATAATAAATATTCATGGAAAGACTATAAGCTGGGTGATTTAAATGTTTGTGTGCATATCCAGATGTAAATTCTGGAAATCAATTTATTAGCTGTCTTTACATGTTACTCTCGTGAGATCTGTAAATCTGTCTACCCCTGACCTAAATTCGTTCCTTTCATATGACTACATAGGTAATCGGGTCTACAAAACTGAGAGTCAAATTCTGAACTAAACTGAAGGTAGTGTCCTTTCATTCACCTTTATTGGTTTCTTCACTAACTGGTTTAATATGTTGGCTTATATTTTTATTTATTTGCAATTTGGTTTTGTGTGATGGAAGTGATGTACTTTTTTTTTTTTTTCCTGAGATAGAGTCTCTCTATGTAGCCCTGGCTATTCTGAAACTCTATGTAGATCATGCTGACCTTGACCTCACAGAGATCCACCTGTTTCTACCTCTTGAGTTACCATGCCTGACTGGGATTGATATTCTTAAACGTCTAAAGCATCTTAAACCATTGCCATTTTGCTGAAGAGGGTCAGAACATCTAAACTTCTCTCTTGTGATCTCTGGGCCAGCCATGCATGGCAAGGAATCCACTGTGTAGTGAGTGAGCTAGACATGGCGCTATATGTAGAGCTCATTCCTTGGAAAAGTTGCTTTGTTGATGTTTTCTTAAAGAAGGTGGAACTCAAATTGAGCTACCTCAGGAATCCAGTTCAGTTAGGACAATGCTTGCCTATCACACACAAGGCCCTGGTTTCAATGTTGAATACCCCATAAACTGTGTGTGGTGGTGCATCTCTTAATTCCCATGCTTGGGAAGTGGAGGTGGGGGTGTCAGGAGTTCAAGATCATCTCTGCCCTTACACCTTGCTTTTATAGATAAGGAAACAGACTACTTTAGACCACTTTTTGTTTGTTTGTTTGTTTTTCTGTTTCAGAAAGGTCTCACTATGTAGCCCACATTAGGCTAAGGGCATACATTTTCTTCTGTAAGGCTTTATTGTATTGGCTTGGAGTTACAGGTTCTCATTCACATTCTGTTACAGGCTGTGGTAGTTTAAATGTAATTGGCCTCCATAATCTCAAAGGGAGTGGTACTATTAGGGGGTGTGGCTTTTGTTGGAATGGGTGTGGCCTTGTTGGAGGAAATATGTCACTGTGGGGGTGGGCTTTGAGGTTTCTTATGCTTGGGATACCACCCAGTGTGAGTTGACTTCCTGCTGCCTTCCAGTCAAGATGTAGCCAGCCCCATGTCTGCCTGCATGCTGCCATGCTCTCCACCATAATGATAATGGACTGGACCTCTGGAACTGTAAGCAAATCACTTCAATTAAATATTATCTTTGTAAGACTTGCTGTTGTCATAGTGTCTCCTCACAGCAATGAAGACTCTAACTAAGACCCTAACTATAGTTCTGTCAACATTTCCTCTCTCTCTCTTGTAGCCCAGGCTGGCCTCAAACTTGTGATCCTCATGCCGCCTTCAGCAAATCCTACAAGTGTGCGCCACCACAACTGTTATATACATTATATGCCAAATTCATACTTGAAACTCAAGTTCATAGATTCCAAACACTTGGTATCTTATGGGTGTTGTGGTCTTTACTTCACCAACTTTGAATATTGGTTTTATGGCAATGATTTTATCTTTTTAATTTGGCAGAAGAGATGTTATTGAATCAAATTCAGGACCTTACAATGTTAGGCATGTATTATGGAGTTAGACCCTCAGCCTCAGCTCTATCCTTATGATAATCTGAAATGCCAAATTTGTTATGTTGGTGTCTTTTTTTCCCCAACATAACATTCCAATTTGTGGATATAAGATTTCACAATTTAATGATAAACTTCAACATCTCTCTTTAAATAATAATTACTGTATACCCATGATAAAATTATATTCAATTATTTTGATCAAATCCTGCAGGCTAAAGAAAGAAATTTTCTTTAACTATTTTATTCATGTTTATTTTAATCACAATTTAAATTCTATTCCTAAGACAGGTTTTTTTTTTTTTCTTTCTTATCTCCTCCTTCCCATCATGGAATGTTATGGGATTTAAAGTTAATATTAGCATATTATCTTCTCAGGGTAGCATGACTTTATATAGAGATTTTATAGTCAGTCTTGACTCTATATATGAAATGTAATAGGAATTCGCATTTGAATGTACTTTTTCTATAGTATGTATTTAGATATTTCCAAGGGAGAAATGAAGCAGCAAATGTGGGTTATAATAAGCAAAATAATTTTATTTAAGTGGCTTATAGGGTTAATAAAGGAAAAATTCTTTAAAAGAAGTATGTTTGGGGGCTGGAAGGATAGCTCAGCTGTTAAAGGCTAGGCTCACAACTATAATATAAGTAGTATGTTTTGAAGAATTTAAGAGATGGTACAAATATATATATTGGCAGAGAAGACGAAGTCAGAAAAAAAGGAAAGAAATACACATTCATTTTTGCATTGGGGAGCTTTAATAGAAGAGAGATAATGGTAACATAAAACCAAAGATACCCCATGGAGGGTGGTTAAGCAGGCACCTGCTCAGAGTGGATAAGGGATTTGGGGAGTAGTGGCTGGTGAATTTATTGAGTGGAGAGTCAACTCTGCTACCTACATTTTGAGTGGATATTGTGTTATATGTTATAGGAGAAAAGAGAGAGATGGAGGGACAAAGGGAGAGGAAAGAAAGGGGATGAGAAAGAGGGAGGGGGAGAGAGAAAGGAGGGAGGGAGAAGGGAGAAAGAGACTTGGTTGATTTGGAGTACCCTATAGAAAATTGCTATCTTGATAAGATAAGGAAATAAAGAGTTTGGTATAGTAATGGAGGGTGCTTTTGAAGAGCCTCACATATCATTCTGCTTCTATGATCTACCTGGGAGGGAGAGCACTGAGTCAGAAAGATCAAACTGAGTAGCTGGCTAGGTTTCAAAAAAAAAAAAAAATCAATTTTTTTTTTGTAGCCATATATAATCAATTTGCAGAAGAGCTTTTACTCACAAGACAATTTCAAATCACTGTAGGGAAAAAAAAAAAAAAAAGAAGGGCTGCCCAAAAATAATCTTCCAACCATAGTCAACAATCAGTGGAAAATTACTGCTTTGCCCTTGAGACGGCACTTGATGTCTGGACCTTTGGGTGCACTCTAATTTTACAGTGTATTTTTATACAGAAACCACTTCAAAAATTATTTAGTCCATGTCCTTTTTGGAAGTATGATGTGGGTAGACTAGAGTAGAGACACTCCTTTTCTGTCTCAAAACATTTATTTTGGGGTTGGAGAGAAGGCCTAGCCATTAACAGCATTGGCTCATCTTCCAGAGGACCTGGGTTCAATTCCCAGCTGACAGCTATCTATAACTTCAGTCTCAGGGGATCTGATGTCCACCTCTGGCCTCCAAGGGCACTGTACACATATTATGCAAGACATACATGCAGGCAAAATACCCATACACATACAAATAATAAAACACACATTTTAAAAAGCATTTACTGTTACTTTCAGAAAGAGAGTTAAAGTTGCTATGCCAACATGTGGGATTATGTTGAAAATAGTATCACTTATAGTAGTTATTATAGTAAATAATCAGGTTTTGCTTTTAATGCATAAAAGTTTATCCCCATCTCTGGGAGAGAATGTCCTTTTTTTTAAAAATTACCTGTCTACTAAATCCTTCGGCAAATGGCTGGCTTGATAAAATGAAGCTTATTTCTTCCATTTCTGTTTGTTCTTTTTATTTGCCTCTTGGCTGCTTCCAGACCCACCTGTGGCTTCTGCCACCCCCACTAGACTGCCTGAGGGAGGGTTTTTAAGGTCTTTGGCCTCAGGTGATGACAGCTGAGGCATATTCAAATGTCTTATCACATTCCTGGGTTTCTGTGGGTTTTGATCCACATGGATTGGTGGTAGATCTCTGTAAGGCACTAGCACGGAAACTACAGGAGTCTTGGGAACTTGTTCAGGATCGGCATTGTTTACTGGGTGGTTTTCTAAAGCTGCCGGAGCCTTTCTGCTCGGACTCTCTCTTCGATGGCTCTGAAGAATATCCATGAAATAAGGCTTCACTCCTGTTATGGCGTTTATTTCATAAGCATTGTACCTGTCAGCCAGTATTCTCCCTGCTGTAAAAGGCTGGAGAACAGTTGATCCTGGGACACAACTAACAAAATTTTCAAGAATAGAATGCCAAATGCTACCACTTATTGGACTCAAAGTGGCCTGGGGCCATAAGTTGGCCAGGCTCCGAAGAGCCTCCCTGTTGCATGCTGAAGTAGGAAATTGGTTCTCAGTATGATAGAGCTGAGAAAAGAAAATACTAAGAGTGACATCTGAATACATCATCAGGAAATTGTACATTTTGCTGATGCAGCAATATCTAGCCTCATTACAAGGGGAGTGGTTGGAATACAGAATGATATGCCTGATGTTGCTGTTATGAGATATGACTGAGGCAAGGTAACCATTCCTCTCAAATAGCATTGATTCTGGGTGGTTGTGATTCCCAGTGCAGTTGCTAGCATGACCCTTTTGTATCAGGTTCCCAGAGGAACTTCTTAGCTCATAAAATGTGAGGTGTTTTATTTGAGGGTATGTTGACCATGGGAATCCAAAAATCTGCTGAAATTCTGTGTAGGGAACTCTTGCTGCTTCTCCTGTCCTAATGTGGTAAGGGCAGTTGGTGCAATCTAGAGAGAAGCTAAGCCAGTAATAAGGTTTGACAATTGTTCCACCATATGTTAGATACTCCTCATACAGTGGCTCCATTGTTAATTTATTATCTTCTAGCTGCAGATCTAAACAAAGAAGAGAAATTAAAAACCTAGCAAGAAAAACTGAAGACAATTAATAGATTTTCTAAGCCCTAGTTTCCTGTATGGAAGCTAGCATAATTTCGCAAACTCCATTGAAGCACACTTGAGCCTAAAGGTGATATATGAGTAGATTATGGAGTTCGAGATTCATTTCTCCTCACTGAGACTATGGTAGGTGGTGGTGAGGGAGACTAGAGAGAAATACAGATTGCAACTTTACCTGTTTCATGGATTCCGTGTCTGTACAGCAAATGGGTTGACAGTTCTACAAACAAACTGCCTCATTCAAGGCTGTGCTGCTCTGCATCCCAGCTTAGTGGTCTTTGGTTAAGTCCTTTAGCCTCTGGGGCCACAGCTTCCTTGTCTGCAAAGATGATCATAGTACCTACTCAGAAGGTTGTCTTCAGATTTAATAATATCATACATATAATAAATACCAAATGCTTTACTGTGTGCCAGACAAGACTCAACCAAAATTAGCTTAGTGGCAACAGGACAAATCCCCTATTGTCTTGGTGATTCCTAGTTGTAAAAACCCAAAGAAAGAAACAGAGTTTTGTTTGTTCATGATTTCTTCCCTTTACTTTTATCTGAATGTGGTAGTGGCTGATAAGCCCATATATATGGGATATGGGTTTTGAGTGGCTTGCCTTTTGAATGAACTGTTTCTTAAAAACATTGGCAATGACTTGAAGATTCTATCTTTTTCAGAATTGGCTTATAGGGATAGTTTTGCTCAGGGTTCGAGACTTCTAGAAGTACACTTGTGTATTGTTTGGCTTGTGGGCACACATTCACTCACATCTATGGGTTTATTTTCAGTTGTTGGGCCTTGTTAGAAGGGTTTCAAAAATTAGTCTAATGCAAACAACATACTGTTTCCTTGGCTGCCCAATTCCAGATGTTGAGAACCTTAAGTAATGGCCTTTCTTTAAAAGTTATTTCTCAAATTATTATTATGGTTTTACTTAGGGCATTATGATGCAGTTGTTAAAGCATTTTAAAGTTGTGTATGAGTACTATGTGTTTCTTATAAAAAATAATTGCCTGTACTGATACAGAAAAAAGAGAAACTCACCAGTTTGTGCCATTATATTACATTTACGAATTTTAGGTCTGTTCTTCCAGCCTCTCTCTCTGTATTTTCTGTATTCCACAGGTTATGTTTTATACCCTTATTTCACTTATAGTACATCATAGAATTTTCCTCTGTTATTAAAATTACTTCAAAAAGCAACATTCATGGTTACTTAGAATTTTACTATGTATCTATAAAATCCAAGTTTTTGCCTCTTTTAAGTATTGACAGCATCTTGATCAATGTTTTATAAGTACATCATTTTCTATGTCTAATTCTTTTCATTTAGGATAGATTATTATTAAGTCATAGCATTAGGCCGGCTTTGTCAATTTGCTTCCTAGAAAGGCTAATTAGTCTTACTGAGTCCCATCTTCTGCTGGGCTGGCTAGCCAAAAGCCCTAGGGATCTGACTGTTGGCTTCCACCAAGCTCTGGGTTCACGGGTGGGGGCCTCCATGGCTGACTTTATACCTAAATCTTGGGGATCCAAACTTGTGGTCTCAGGGTTTCAAAGCACTTTACTCATTGAGCTAGGTTTCCAGCAATCTGCCTTCCAGTTCAAATAAGTCAGACTCTGTTTTATTTGATCAGATGGAACCTGTGGATTTCCTATGAGGAGAATTTTGTCCTGAGTAGAAAATGTTTTCAAAGCCTCAGCCTAGCTGAGGGTGAAGTATGGCTTTGTTTATTCTGGCACCACAGACTTTAGATTGTAGTTTTTGTTTGTTTGTTTTAACCAGGTCTCACTATGTAGCTCTGGCTGGCTTGGAACCTGCTGTGTAGACCAGGCTTTGAACTTGCAGAGGTCTGCCTGCCTCTTGAGTGTGGGGATTAAAGGTGTGTGTCACATCTGGCCAATATTGGAGATTTTTGTTCATCTCTGAAGTTACTTTAATTCACAGGATTAGATGCTCGTTTCAGCTGCCTGCAACAGAATTCTTGCCCTTTAAGGTTTCCCAGTCCTTGGAATAGCTTTGCTCTGGGAAATTCATTTAGCCCTTGGTAAAGGGCGGATCTCTTGGAACCTAAGACTATTGCCTGCTAATCCTGCAGGTCAGGTCTCCCAGAGCCTCCTCAGCCAAACATCAGTGGACTAAGAAAGCTTCTTAACACTAAGGCTAAGTGTGGACACTTAAGTATTACATCTTTAGTGTGGCTCACTATGAGTGACATACAGCTCACTACTCTAGTTATAATTCCAATCCACCAGAAAAAAATGCTGTGACATAGTACAAGTGAAAAGAATGTGACCCCAAACATGGTTTTGTGGTATGTATAACAAACATATCAGAAAGACAAGCAAGGGGGCTTGGGGAGATGGCTCAGGTGGGGTAAAGTACTTGCTGGGTGAGTGAGAGGAGGACTGGGGGATTTGGATCTCCAGAGCCCACATAAAAGCATGGCAACCAATTTGTAATCCTGAAACCCAAGGGAGACAAGAGAGAATCCTGGAGCCAGCTGGCTAGCCAAAACAGCCAAAATTACAGGCTCCAGGTTCAGCAAGAGAGCCTGTCTCCAAAAAATAAAGGTGGAGAGTAATTGAGGAAGACTTTGGAGGTTAGCCTTGGGCCTCTACACTCTTATCCACACAGATGCACACATACCCCACCACATATCCACACAATATGAACAGGCACACACGCATGCACGCATACACACACACACACATTTACACTTAAAAAGAACAAACTGGAAGGAACAGTGATGCCATCAGCAATTGGAAGATAAAATGATACAGATGAATTTTTTCTCCTTTATGTATCAGTGTTTTGTTTCATAAATGATACGGAAAAATACAGGGAAGGCCTTTTCTGCCCTTCTTTTTTTTTTTTTAAATCATTTTTAAGATGGTGTGAGGAAGTATATAGCAACCTATGACTGCCCTTAGGAAAGCAGGAGGTCTTTAGTTTTTTTTCCCCTCGAGACGGGGTTTCTCTGTGTAGCCCTGGATGTCCTGGAACCTGCTTTGTAGACCAGGCTGGCCTTGAACTCACAGAGATCCACCTGCCTCTGCCTCTCACATGCTGGGATTAAAGGTGTGCACCACCAGCACTTGGCTAAAGTCTTTAGACTTTAGAGGCAACAACATGGAAACACCTGTATTATTTCCCAGTCATACCTTTATTTCTACCCCTCTCCTGCCCAAGTTTCAGCCTTAGCTAGACACAGCACATTACTGTCCTAGAGGCAATCTTGGTGACCAATGGCTTTGATATAAACCAGGAGCTCTGGAGTCTTGTTCTTGTTAATGGCTTCTCATTGTCAACTCTCTGTTCTTTCACCAGCCTGAAGGAGAGAGCACCATTCCCTTTAAGCTTTTATAGAACTCAGGGTTTATTGTATGAATGTGTTATTGATTACAGACTACTTATATCGATAATTTTTGTTATCCGTCTCTTTGTTCTTTCCTATCCAGGTGGCCCAGGGCTACCTCAGTAGCCTAGACTGGCTCACAAGCCAAGTGGGTTTGAACTTGTGTCCTTGACTACTTGTATCACCACTGCTTTGTCTCTGTAGATTTGCTGGTAGCAAGCATGAGAGATGTGGGGAGCCCAGCCTGCTGGAGGATTCTTTTTCTCACATCCAGTGGCCCTGGACTGTAGCCATGCGAGGACAGGCTTCCTTGCTTTAACATAAACGAGCCGTACTGTGAGGACAGTCTGCTCTCGTTTCAGCCAGCTAGGATCTAGCGAGTGCTGCTAAGGCACAGTTCGCACTGGAGTAATTGGAGAATGGAGTTTGCCCTTCCCAATCTGTGCACAATCTGCTCAGAGCTAAAAACAAATGTTAGCAGTTATAATTACCACCGTTTTGTCTCCAGGCTTGGATCACGCTCCAGGTGTTAGAGGTGCTGGTCCGTCTTCTTTGTTTCCTCCCTGAAGTTTCATACCCTGTTTCACGTAGATTCAGAGGACATTTGTGCCATAAAGATTCTCCTCTGATACTGTGTCAGGACTCTCTTGCAGTTTCTATTAGTACTTCTAATTTTTCTGGCCCAAGTTAGTCCTTGCTGAGGTGTGGCTGCCTCTAAGAACACTGTTGAATTGGTGCCATGGTAACGTTTGGAAAGTAGCTACTGCTAGGATACGGCTCTGACACTTATTACTTTATTTGCATATCAAACCACCTCTTCCAAAGATGAAAATATACATCTCTGCTTGCTTATTCCAGTCTGGATAAAAGGGTGATATCTAACTGTTCAAGTGAAAGTGTTGACTTTTTTTCTCCCTGTGACTGTAAGAATAAAATTTAAGGTCCTCTTCTCAGCCCCTTCTCTCACGTCTAGAATAGATGCCAGGGTCACTTTGTAGACAATATTTGGGGCTTCTATTGTCTGTGCAGGCTCAAGGGGCCACTCTTTGGGAGGTATGCCTTTCTGTGATATTAAGATGACTTGATTTAGCAAAGACAGCCCTGTTTGGACAAACAGACCCATACTCCACAAAGGGATCTTATTTTTTTGTAATATTAAAAAAGGTTTATTTATTTTATATATATGAGAATTTTTCCTTGCTCGTGTACATGTACCATGTACACACAGTATATGAGGAATCCAGAAGGGTGAGTTTGAACTCCTGGAACTGGCGTTGTGAGCTACCATATGGATGCTGGGAACTGAACCCAGGTCCTTTGCGAAAGCAGCAAATTCTCTTAACTGATAAGCTATCTCTCCAGCCCAAAAGGGGAATTCTTGATTGTGTCTAGATGAATTTATGGAAAGTATCAGCACTTTTCATTGTCTAAGAAGTTCCCTGGGCAACTCTTGCTCCTGTGTGTAGCTCCTGTCCTTTTAAGACAAGCTTTGTTTATGGTGCAGTGGCGGCCATTTCTTTCTTCATTCTTCTTCTCTGTCTCCCACCATTTACCCCTCACCATCTCTCACACACTAGGTTCTGCTAGCTATGGTCCATTGTGCTCTTTTCCTTTCCCTGTGTTCTTCCTCAGGCTACTTGAATGAGTAATGATTCTTTGTGTATTTCTCTTGGTTCCTGCTGACAGGTTCTACGCATAGATATTAACTCCTCAGGGAGAGCAAGCCCCCAGAACCCCTTGTGCCTCTTGTATTGGTGTCATTGTGACAGGCTTCCATTGCCAGACTTTCATGGCCACTGGCAGCAGTCCTATCGCAGCCATGCGGCTCCTTGGGGCTGCAATGTTATCTTGGGTTGTGTACTTTCCAAGGCCATCACATGCACTCCTCAGGCTTCAGCTAGTGATACTCAGTTGCTTTTCCCTGTCTGGTTTCCTTGGCATGTGCGCGGGTGCGCCTCATCCATCCCCACCTTTTGCCCTTCTTGTTTTTCCTTTGTGTCTAGAGCGACTCCTCACTGAATGAGTTTATAAATGACTGGAAGTGGATGCTCATATCTCATCTTCTGCCTAACTCTAATAGATGATACCCTGATATGCAATATTAATTCAAAAAACCTGATATGCCTTTAATCCAGAATCTGGCCGATCTCTATGGATTGGAGGTCAGCCTTGTAGGAAGTTCCAGGCTAGCCAGGACTATAGATGGAGTAAGACCTTACCTCAAAAAAAATTACTTTAGAAATCTATTGGGATGCTTATGTAATAAAAAAAAGTATTAGCTGTTCAAGAGACTCTGGTCAAGGTAGGAGTTAATAAGCCCCATGGTCTCTATACCTTGTGTGCCATGCACCTTAAGTAGTGGGTTGGATACTAGGTAAATCAAGTCAGAAAGAAAATTAAAGGAAACATGAGCCTTTTAATACCAACCAGCTGTGTAGTAAGGCGGTTTTAGGAAGTTCAAGTCTTTATTATTTGAGTTGAGGACATTAGAAATCCCCACACAGTTTTGCAGCACACATTTAATTGCTGATAACCATGGATAATTGTCTGTGTTGTAGAACATTAGAGATCAGTTCTTTCATTCATTAGTCCCCTGTTCTCTGTCAACTCCTCACCATACTCCTTTCCTTGCCCTCCCCAGACTTGGGAACTCCAATTTTACAGTCTTCTATGAAATCAACTTTTAAACCTTAAGGTGTGAAAATATAATATTTGACTTTTTGTGTGACTTATTTAACATTATATACTCCAATTCCATTCTTACTGCAAAGGCATCCTCCCCCTTCTCCCCCTCCTTCCCAGTCTTCCTCTCCCCTGCAGGAGTATGGGTGCTCATGTGCCATGGCACCTGTGTGGAGATCAGAGAACGAGCTTGGGTGTGGATCCTGGCAGTCTATCTTGAAACACTTGTTCACAGCTGCTGTCACTAGATTTGCTGACCTGTGATTCTCCTGCCTCTGCCTCTGATGTCCAGTGGACACCTACCAGAAGGGAGAAGCTTCCATTTTAGCCCACCTGCCACACTTCATATTCATTCTGATGAACTGTGTGTATTACCCATGGTAATTATCCAAATGGAATTAGAATGAAAATTATAAAACCTACATTTACAAAGACTTTACTCTGTTGAATATGTCAGTCAGTGATCTAGCAACCTGATTTGGGATAGAGACAAAATGGCTGCGAATGCTGGACACTGCATAGGAAGTGTTTCCCTTTTTGGGTGACAGAAGTAATTTATATTCTATAATTTATATCCTATTACTTGCATTATTAACTTTTATTCGAGCACACTGTGCTCAATTAATGACATAATCCATTCTGAGTTGTCGCTTGATTGACATTGCCAATGCTCAGATAGATGTAGCGGTGGTAAGTCACCTGGAAACAGAACCCAAACATAAAAGGCAAGCCTGAAGTGAAGAAGGGCAAGAGGGGAGTAGGCTTTTAGGGAGATCTCCAGGTAATTTGATGGAAAAAGTAGAAAGGAAAAGTGTTGGCCTGGAAGGAAAGGAGGACAAAAGAGTGCAGGAACACAGGCGATGCTCGGCCTGTGGTCCAGCACTAGGGATGCAAAGGCAAGAGGATCAGGAGGAGTTCAGGGCTTTCATTGGCTATGTAGGGAGTTCTAGGTCAACCAGGGCTACATGAGCTCTTGTCTTGGGAGGGGGTGGGAGTGTGGGGGGGGGGCAAAAGAAATCTTCTGGTTTGGATTTGTAGACAAAATGGCCACAGGGTGGCAGCACAGTCCAAACAGCAGGGACTGGTTTGCCAGCCTTTTTTTTAAGTACACTTTAGAATTCTTGCATGTGGATTTTCCACCATTGCCAAGGAAACAAGAGCAATTGCTCAGGATTAAAGGGAGGGGAAGTGTAGGGAAAGGCACCATTGGGACCTCTGCTTGGTAAGCTCCAAAGGAGGCTTCAACCTGACAAGACTCATTAAAATTATGTCTAAAATACAATCATTCTTCTAAAATGTAATAAATTGTTTTATGAAAGAACAAAATGGCTAATGAACATAAGCTCATTTTTTCTATAATCAGTCGAACAGTCTGTACTTTTAAAAAAAATGAGTGTTTAAAAAACATAAACAGAATAGTTGTCAGTTTTTTGTTTTCTCCTAGCGCTGAGAATTGAACCCACAGCCTTGGGTGTGCCTGGGAGCCATGTTCCCAGCCCTGGGCTTCCCTTTGTTGCTTGCGCTTTTGTTGTTATAGCTGAGAAAAGATCTCCAAGACCAATGTGGTAAAGATTATACCCCAGGTTTCTTCTAGGGGTTTTAGTTTCCAGTCTCAGTAGTTAGAACTTTAATCCATTTTAAGATGACTTTTTTTTTTTTTTTCTGTTTTTTTCCTTTTTGTGCTCAATGTGGCACAAAGCTCCAGTTTCAGTCTCTAGCTTATGGATATCCAGTTTTCCCAGCAACGTTTGTTGATGAGAGTGTCACTTCCCACTGTATTGTTGTGGCACTCTTGCTAAAACTCATTTGATCACGTATGTCTAGGTTTATCTGGGGGCGCTGTATTCTGTTTTGTTGGCCTGTGTGTCTGCCACTGTGCAAATACAAACAGAATAGAGAAAAGATTTTCTCTTTAAAAGAAGAGTAGAGTAAGAAAAGGCATAGAAAGTATGTATGTAGGTGATTAACAATGAGAATCACTGTGTCATAAAACCTATGGAGTAGGAATATGTATGTCTTAAAAAGATGTGTGTGTGTGTGTGTGTGTGAGAGAGAGAGAGAGAGAGAGAGAGAGAGAGAGAGAGAGAGAGAGAGAGAGAGAGAGAGAGGAGAGAGAGAGGAGAGAGAGAGAGGAGAGAGCACATGTACATGTATGGCAGTCAGAGGACAGTTGGTCAGATGATAGTTCTTGCCTTTTACTTGTTTTCAGGACTGGTCTCTGGTTATTTCTGCTGCTGTGATGTATACTTCAGGCTAGCTGGCTCATGAGCCTCTTCGTGAGTCTCCTGTCTCCACCTCTCATCTCAAAATAGGAATGTGGGATTTCAGATGTGGGGCATTGCATCTGGCTTTCACATGGGTCTGGGAATTGAATTGGGGTCTGCAGACTTGCTCAGCTAGCAGTTTTATGCTCTGTGATACTTGTCTGACCTAAAAACTGTATTTACTATACTGTGTACACACATTTTATAAGCACTTTGTATTAACATATTTATTTTCAAAGTCTTTATTGTGTCCAACCAATTGCTTTATTTGTTTAATCTCTGTTGAATTGGTGTCAGCACTAGTTGGAGGATATAGCTTACCTGCTGTTATATTTTTGTTTAAAAGCATCATAAAACAAAGAAAATCAGATTCAGGAAGTGTGTTGATGAGCACACTGGAAGAAATTTTAGAGCAATTTCACTAGCTAAGGATACCAATTTTAAAGATTTGTTTGAAATGAAACAAAGGTGTGTTTTCAAAATTCATCACTAATACTTAATCCATGAACTATTCTAACAATTTATCCCAATTACATCAATTGAATTTGAATCATATCTTAATAAAAGGAATGGTTGTGTTTTAGCAGATATATGCATGGGTCCTTCATTGTAGAGAATATGATTTTGCAACATGAAAATTTTTTTTTCCAAATCCATGTATTTATTTTGTCTTTTCAACTGCTGCTGAAAAACAGGTCATATTTTCTATGTCCTGCTTCCTTGGAAATATTAACATTACTCCATATGGACAATTTTATACATACAAGGAAATCTGGCTGTACACTATCTGTGAAAAGTTAGAATGCCAGTGACACACACCTTTAAT